GAGCCAGTTATATCTCCTGGCAGGTCCGAGTAAGCCCAGTGTACAGCTTGAGGCTGCCGGCCCAATAATGTGTCTCATTCCCAGGGGTGATATCTAGGGGCATCCTCAGCATGCCAGATGTTCAGGATCCCACAGTTCTCCAGCTTCCACACATGACATTGCCCATCCTGTATTTGGGTAACCCCCAGACCACTGCAGAGAGTGATGTAACCTTTGGATGCACACAGCCCCTCTTCCCTCATTTCATTGTTCAGTGACTCATTCATGCGTAGGGGCAGTGGCTTTTGCCAGCTAGGTCTCAATGTTGGCATTGTTACATATGCTCAGTTCCCCTCATATGTTCATGAGGCCCTTACACAGGGGACCGGCCCTAAGCCAGTCCTTGTTTTTGTCATCTTCAGTGGGACACTTCTTGTCCAAGTAGTCAAAGGAGTGTGGTGCATTAAAATGCCAGCCCATTATGGCTTTGTTAATTGTGGTTGTGACATTTTGCCACCCTATACCAGTTAAGATAACACAGGGCACCTCCAACTCTCCCATGTGGCAAATGCCAGATCCTCATTTGGTAAANAAAAATATGTAAAATTAAATATTCATTATTTAGAATAGCTAAAAATGGGTCATCAGTTTCCTGGAAAACTGTATAGCCATGAAATGAGATGAAATAGATAATGCTAATGACAAGGTCCAAGGTCACATGGCTAGGAAGTGACAGACCCTTGGGAAATGTGCTGAGGCATCCTGGCTCCAGATCATGATGCTAAATGCTGCAATTAATTTATATGGTTTGTGTCTTGACAGTATAGAAGACACATTATATTACATAGCTGTCCCATACAGGTTTCTGTGGAGCAGGTTCACTATGCACTATGTGTGAGTATAGTGAGACAGAACTCATGCAACAAGCTACATGAAGCAGATTTATTACTTATAGATAGACAGCAAGAGGCAAAAGAAGCCTATGATCCATTATAAGCTGGTCTCCCAAGCCTCAAGAAAGTTGCCTGGAGTGGATGGAGTCTTGACTGCATGTGCTCCACTTACTCACAGCTGAGGCACCCTGAAAAGCAGCCTGCCCCAGGTTATATACCTCAGGAGCCCCATGACTCTCTGGGCAAAATTAAACAAAGCTCAGGCTATACAGGGCAGGTCCTCTCTGTCTCAGAATATTGTATTCCCAGCATATTCTATAGCTGTTCTTGAGAATTATAAGCAAAAAAGAGAAGAGAACTGGGTCAGTCTAAGGCCACCCAGGGAACCATCCTGCAGTCAACGCCTCAACCCAGATATCCCCCTTAGCAAAGCTAGTCCATTTTATATGCTCATTCACTTCCTGGATCTGGAGATGGAGATTTATCTTGTCAGATTGATGAAACACTTTGACAGATACAGTCTCAGTGCAACATCATTAAGTTATAGCCAGAATACATTTCACTGGGCCCCAGAGGATTACTACCACAAGCATTGGGCCAGACCTGCCTGAAGTAGCAACCTAGCACAGGGTTCCCGTGATCAAGGTAAGAAGTTGCTAAAGATGTCAGAGAGGGATCATTCAGGTGGCCTCACTGTCTGCAGCCACTGAATCTGCTTCTGGGTCTACAGACCTGAAGTATTTATCCAGGTAAGGCAGGGTGTGTTAGCAATTGCACACACATTCCCTCTGCTAAAAGAAAGTCTGGAGCAATTCTTTCTTTAAGACAGCCTTTCCAAAGGAGTTGAGGGATGTTGCTGGGCTGCCAAGGCAGCGGCAGTGGAGGAAACAATATCTACCATGGATAGGGACAGATTTCTTATCATTTTTTCATGAGAATTGACTCCTATGTGTGGTACCAGTATCTCATAGAGGACATAAACCCAGAGCCAGTTATATCTCCTGGCAGGTCCGAGTAAGCCCAGTGTACAGCTTGAGGCTGCCGGC